TGGAAGTTCGAACCAGCCCGGCTAGGTAGAGGCTGGAGGCTACCTAGGTACTAGGCCTCGGGGAGCAAGAAAACACCGGACCTTGATAGAGGGTGTCAAAATAAACTTAGTAAAGGGCACCCTAAACTTAGGCTAGGCTTACCTAAATATTTTTATTACTTAGGGTCAGGGGCCTGTGTTTTCTTTCCTCCCCTAGCTAGGTTAGTAGGTAGAGCCAGTGATCGGATACAGTGGGGTTAGAGGGTGCCTGAGCTTCAATAGAGGGTGTTGATTGCGGGCCGAGCGAGCGAGCGGCAGAGAACCCAGGACCCGTCTCGACGATGATCAGCTTTCACTGGCTGCAAATCGTATGTACAATGTATCGTGGTACTGTGAAACAAACGTCTGTAGACTAGGTGCTAAGTAATAGTGGAGGCAATTGACCTGACCACTTCTCTTATTTTGTGCAGTTGTCCTTTCATCATCCGTAACACAGGTAGGGCTTCTAGAGCTATGGGCACTTTAGTAATAAGCTCAGCTCAAGACTGCTTCTCAATTACAGTACCTCCAGAGGCATAAATGCTTTGAGGCGAGCAGTGCAACACCCTGAGGTATTATCCGCAAAAAGTTACCTATCTATGTACTACCAGTGAACAGCGTTCTCATAAGTCACCCCATCCCAAGAAAAGCTCTCAAGCCTCCCTCGATCCCTCCTCTCTCCCCTGCCAATCACCGAATTCCCTGGCTAGTTTTATCCCTGCCGCGCTGAGCAACTGGACACGACCTACGTAATTGATGGTCCGGGGGAGCTCAATTTTGTTTGTGACGGAAGTATTCAGTGGGCCGGGACCCTCAACGACAAGGATCCTGGGGGTTCCAAGATCGAGCAGAGGAGTCTTTTCTGTATTTGGTTTGGTGTTGGTCCCTGGAATCCCTGCTTCGTTTACTGCTAGCACGGCTGAAGTTGGTTACGTAGCTCGGAATCTCCAGCTGGTGTTTTTTTTTTTCTGGTTTGTTTGGGTTTGACTTTGTTGATGGGACGTGAATTCGTGGCTCCTGTTGTGAAGGTTTCCCTTTTGTTCCATAACATAATATGTAGCCACATGAAACCAACCGCTGGCACAACTCGATACCAGAAACACAATTGTGCTCTGACTGGTTAATCTTGACGAAACAGTTTCCTTGCTGTGCAATCTCGCCTCCAAGTCTGTCATACTCAGAGGCAGCTGTGCACCACAGTAGGGAAACGCTGTAAGAAAGATACAGAAACAGCCTGTCCTCTCCAACAACCCGCACTGCTTTGGCCTCGCCGAGTTCCACTTCCTGTCACCTTGCATTCGAAGCGTTCCTTTCTCCCTCGCCTGCAGTTGCATCTGCACTGCCACTCCGCTTGACCTGAACGCTAGGTTCACACTACTGTGACTGCCCAATAGATTGCGGTGCTTGCCGTCAGCATTTCTATTGGGTCGGATGCCCTAGATAGTATCGTGTTATAAGACGCATTTTCCCAGTTTCTGTTGCCTGTGAACTTGGGTCAACGTCTTCCTCTCATGGATATGAAGATACTGATGATGCCATTTTTGGGGGAAATTTAATGAATCACTTTGGAAGCCAAAGGCAAAACATAAAGCAAATGCAGTTTGTTTGCTAGTTGAGATTATGTAGGTACCTCAGTCAATAGGTTGTTTGACGGATACCTACCTAGGTAGGTAATGTACTAGGTTAACACAGCGGCCCTAGGATGTTCCCTTCCCTTGACCAGAATCATCAGCAATCGATAGACAATCCAAAATGCATCATGAATCATCTAACTACCTACCCAAGCAGACCAAGTAGTGTTTCATTTGCACATTTGCATATCACGTGTCATTGTATGGGGACCATCTTCAGCTGCAGCAGTTCTTGTCGCCTTTCACAAATACCTATGGAGATGGCATCAATATTATAACAACGAGTCAACATAATGCATCTGTTGCTCTCAGCCTGGTTTCGACAGCCAACAGTGAGTATCGCTATACTTGCCCCAGAAAAAATCAAGCTAACGATACAGTAACAGTCATGTTATTCTCGCCAGATAGGCTCATCTCGGCTCTTTACCAGAAATCACAGCTGGCCCCAGTCTGTGGGCACCAAACCAACCTTCAAACCATCGTCTCAGCAGCTGAGGATTGCAAAGCTCTGTGCTGACCAGAATGTCGTGGTATCAGCAAGACCCGGATCAGGCAAAACCGCCACCATAGAAGCAATTGCGGCTGCACACCCTGACAAGAGAATTGGAAGCATTCTCTTCTCTAAGAGACTTCAGAGTGAAACCTCTCATCGTCTCAAAAAGTACCACAACAGCCATGTATACACTTTTCATGGTATGGCGGGTGTACTCCTTGGACAAGTGGTTCCGAGCGATGAAGCACTTATCAAGCTCTTGGAGAATATCGATAAGTGCGGCAAACTTCCACGATGGGCCTCAAAACCTTTCGACATTATTGTACTCGACGAGTTTCAGGACTGCAACCCAGAAACATTCTGGCTAGTCGAGTGCTTTGTCCGGGCCAACAACATCAGGAAAGGAGGCCAACCCGCGCGCATCGTCGTCCTCGGCGACGAGCGCCAATCGATATACCGCTTTCGTGGTGCTGATCCTCGCTATTTGACTCTGGCCCCTGAGGTGCTGGGTCCAATCAGCCCCTATCCATTTGCAGAAGTTCAGTTAGGCAACAGTTTCAGGCTGTCCTCATCAGCTGTCCAGTTCATCAACCGTGTCTTCCTTGGTGGAGAGCAGTACATCTCCAGCTCGAAGCGTGGTCCAAAGCCCATTGTCCTGAGATGCAATATTTGGGACAGTTTGGCAGTGGCCGGAGCGATTTTCCCCCTGATAAAACGTTACAAGCCTGAGAACTGCGTGATAATAGCGCCCTCTATTCGTACGAAAGGACCGTTGCAAGATCTTACAAATGCGTTGGCCCAGGTCTATGGTTTGCCGATAAATGTACCTCCCGATGAGGAAACACCTCTCGACGACATCGTAATCAACGGAAAGCTGTGTATCTCTACGATACATCAGTTCAAGGGTCGAGAGCGTAAGCTTGTTATTCTTCTTGGCATCGATGCCTCTTATTTCCAGTTTTTCGGCCGCGACTTGCCAGATGACGGCTGTCCCAACGAAGCTTTTGTGGCTTTAACGCGCTCTCTGCAACAACTCGTATTGGTCCATAACGACAAGAGTAAGATGATGCCGTGCGTATCCCTCGATTCTCTGTACGAAACCGCCAAGATAGTCAACTTGACAAAGAGACGAACAAAAATCCCACACCCTGATCTACCCGGACGCCCCTTGGAGCTGGGCCTTGTGCTTCCAAAATCTTGTGGAGCCCGTGAAATAACGCGGTATGTCCAGGGAGATGCTCTTGATACACTTGTCGAGCGCCATCTTCGTGTAGACAGGCTAGCGCCTCCTCTCCCTCGCCATGAATACATCAACATAAGAAATGTGGTACTCTCAGATCCGAAAAGGGGGTTCTATGAGTCTGTTAGCGACATCAACGGCCTTGTTGTTGCAGCAGCTCTGGAACTAGAAACAGCGGGAACATTAAAGTCGCTGGGGCGACCAAGTGAAGGAGAGGTTGATGAAATTTTGCCAAAATGCCCCGAGAAGCTTGTTGCTTGGCTTTGCCGGAAAGCTTGCGAGTATGAAGCGACTCTCTCGGGGTATCTGCCGCGTGTGATTCAGATGAAAGACCACAAGTATGACTGGATCAAGCCCGAAGACCTCATCCTTGCTCGGCGTCGACTTGATAATGAGCTTGTGGATTCTGCCCAAGGGCTGAATTTTGAAGTCGAGATGCAGCAGCGATTCTATATCGATGACCAAGAAACTCAACTCTGTGGTCGAGCAGATATTGTACACAATTCCGCTACCGAGAGCAACGACGACATGGATAATCGAACAATATGGGAGATCAAGTTCGTCTCAAGCCTTTCCAACGAACATGTCATCCAGACTTGCGTTTATGCCTATTTGTCAGGCTCAGAGTCTGGAAAGTTACCACGCATCATACTATACAATGTGCGAGATGGGGACAAGCGCGAGATCATACCACGCCATGGAATAGAGGGGTTGAGGCAACTGATCACAAGTGTTCTTAGACTTCGGTATACTTCGAAAGGAGAGATGACATATGAAGAATTCATCGAACAGTGTAGCAAGACAACACGGAAGGTGATGAATCTTAGTGATGGGTCATAGTGAAAGTCAATTATGAGACTTATGAAGAGTATGAGACTCGCCGAGTTACTTCACAGCATAGAGATCTATTCATTCTAGAGCATTGACGTATCACAATTCCTATCCAAGTGGCATAATTTCTGTATGTAGACTCATGGAGACCATATCTTAAGCGTGGTTTCATGGAACCTGCTGAGGTCATGGGGCAGGGAGGCTTGCCAGACAGAGCGTTGATAGTATGTTTGTTCGGCCTTTCTTTCGCTAGAGCATTGAGAGTCTTCGTAAGTTTAAGCTTTGTATGGTTGTAAGATGTGAACTCTTCATGCTCTATTAGAGACTAACGCGACTTGCGTTGATGGAACCATCAGACTATCAACACCTTGATTTACCTGCATATATATTACGTAGCCTATCACTTCCAGGTTTTTATTTAGGCTGTATTATGACGTTTGAGTTTGATATACCTAGGTAATGATATGGAGTTAGATAGCACTGAGCAGACTTGTGCAATCAAACAAATTGGCAAAACCAAGGAATCAACTTTGAAAGCAGGCCATTGACACCATGGTTTACATTGGAGTAAGTTTCATGAGTATTTCTCTATTCTTCGTCACATCATATGGAAACATCCAATACTTCTCGCACAACCTACATGACGCATATTGAAGCTCAAATGCTGCAATGAAAAAAAAGGCACAGTAGCCAGTGCTCAACCAAATCTAAAACATAAGAAAATGCTGAAAAGTGGCCAGTCCCATATCCTTTACGCCATTCTCGTATGCAATGAACGCCTCTCCTCTTAATAACCCAAGCCATGCTGGTGAACTGGACATCTTCCGGGATGTTTACGGAACCAAGACGAGATGCAGTGCTTATGAAATCTGCACAGGCACTCCAAACGTGCCATTTGATCACCGACAGTGAATTCTTCGAGACAAATGGTGCACTCTGCATCATCGATGCAGTCCTTCTCCGTTGCGGAATAACAATACATGCCTGTTAACCGGGGTGCAGCTGGTGCTCCGCCATCCTCACTAGCGCCTAACATTCCGTACGCGCTGTGAGTCTGGATACACTTCGTGATATGTGACTGACGAAGTTCCTCAGCATTCGGCAAGCTCTGTGACGGCAGCTCGCGGTGACAAACGGGACATTCATCTTCCTCGGCAATCTGTGGCGTAGGCGGAAGTGCCCGCTGCCTGGTTGATGATTCTCCTAGTGAGCTATAGCGATCTGGATATGAAGATGCTGAAGCAGCCTGGCCACTTGCTTGGACTCGATCAAAACGCGACTGTAACGCTCCACTACGTCTTCTATAGGTAGGACCAGGAGAAGAGCCAGATGACGCCGAGCCCTGGTGATACGTCAGTTTATGCAAAAATTTAACGAGAGAAGGCCGAAGTACCATTGTGATGCTCCTCGTCCTGAGAGAGAGATATCTGTACGGGTCGCCACCGGTGCCGGGCGCGAAAACCGCACCATGTCGGTTAGACGGCTGCAGTGTTCCATAGGCATTACCGATACTGCTTCTTGACCTCTGGTGAGAAGTTCGTGGTGAAAGAGTTACTTGTGGACTCGGGCTTTGTGGGGGCGCTGTATTCGGATCTGGTACGCAAGGATTGCAAAGCCGTACCCGTTCACCTCCCGACATGTCGTTCACATCAAAATACCCAGCTCCTAGTCCGTCAACAAGCAGTGAATGATGAATGGCTGCCTCGGAGCCAGGTTGCCGTACAATATATTGGTGAGGGATGATGATCCTGTGCGGTGAACAGGCGTTGCAAACAACTCTTCCACATTTCCTGATCTGATAAGCATATACAATCAAATGCTGTCTGGACATATCTCGACATACCTGCAGTGATGTTTGCGGATGAAGAAACTAAACTGTGTATGACAGATAGGGCAATATGTGACCTCATTATCCGGCTGCCACCTTGGGCGTTGCTGATCTGAAGATATTGACTGGCGAGCAGAGCGCGGAAGCGGTGGAAGTGCCTCTTCCAAGGGCCTTGGAGATGGTAATGGTGCATCCATTCTTTCTCGGGATGGAGTTGTGTGCACTCCTTGAGCCCCTTGTGAGTTTGATGCGGTTATGAGTTGGCTGGAACCCGCTCTCTGATCCGAATTGCTGGTGGCAACACTCTGAGATTCAGGTTGCTCGGACCGCGTATTATGAGAGTAGCTCACGGGGTATGTCGATAGTGAAGTATGTGGTGTATTTGTCGATGGCTGACCCGATTCCTGGGTAGCCGTGGGGGGTGAAGCAGGTTGGTTGGATGGAGGATCGCTCGTAATATACGCAGCATCTCTGTCAACGTTTGCAGGGATTGAGTCTGGGGCTGGGACATTATCCCCAGTGATCCCAACTTGTGCAAGCTTTTGGTTTGAGAAGCGAATAGTTTGTGCTCCAGACTGATCTCGCTCGACATCAGTACGAGAGTAATGCGAGCTGTGGGTGGATTCTTGGTCTCCTGAACCACTCTCTGATAGACTCCGCTCGATGGTGTGGGATGGGCAGTCGAAGTATCGCGAGCATTCTTGGTGATGGAAGCGAGGATTCCGCCAAGGGCATATTGGATCTCGTGCGTTATCTTGGTGGTGATATGGGTTTAGGTCGTTCTGGTCGATTTCGCGGTGGCTGTCATCGCTATGCAACGAATGTGAGCTCGGAGAACCGCTCGACACAAGAGCGCTGTAGTCTATGGCAGCCTCCGAGGCGAAGTGGCCTGAAGCACCCGAAGGGCTGGCCATGACAGCTCATTAAGACTCGGTTGTGAACGAGGGGGGGATTGGAAATGCGTAGCCCTCGTCTAACACAACATGGGTTGATGATATCGGTCGAGGGGATGGGACCCGAGTTTTGTATTGTGGGAGTGTGTAGGTAAAAGAAGAAATTCTGAGTTCGAGTGCGACGTTTGCCGGCGGTAGGATTCCTTGAACCTATATCAGATGCGATTAGAAAATGGTTGGTTCAAGGCTAATAACTCGCATGATGCATGAGAGATACTAGGTAGCTCGGTGATAGCCAGGATAGTAGGTAGTAAGTCGGTACTTACTGAGTCAGGCAGGTCTGGGGGATGCAGCGATTTGAACGTACTTTTGAGGTGATCAAAGATGATGCGAAGATGATGTAGAGCCGCACTGAAGACAAGCAACCTTTTAGAAGTGATTCGAATCAAGTCGTGCCGAATTATTTGTTGATTAGGATAAGTTTAGTTGGTCCAAAAGGGCTGGCCTTGGGCTTCCACGGGTCCGCTAGGACTGGGCTTGCGGCAGGCCCGTCTCATCTGAGGGGCTGCCCGCTCCGAAGAAGTGGAGCTGGGGGAAGCATTCGCCCACGCGATCACCCTTGCATCACCTATCAAACTATCTGGACGGGACCTCTAACTTACCTACCTAGTACCTAGTGGCCTTATTAGCCCCTGGGGTTCAACGTGCGGCCTTGAGAGATCCCTTAGCTGAGGTATTCAAGTTGGTAGGTACTAAGGTACCTACTATTTCAGCTTGCCTTGAAGTACCTTACCTTACTAACCCACGGTACTCTACCTACTTTACATCTCATACAGACAACTCAGTTTTATACCATCCTTCGAACTTACCTCACTACCTTGGTAGGTAGGTAGTTATCATTGTTTGGACCTTCGAGAGGTTAGATAGCACTACCGTAGATCTATAAGCACTTCTCTCTCATCCTCACACCGCAGCTCACTTGACCACTCACGCGCTAACTTGAAATGTATCAGGTGGACACACTTTATCTGTACCTGGAGTCTGGGCAGATCTGGACCCTTATCGCCGACTTAATCAATATCATCTTATTAGCCCAGCATTGGGTGATTAATTACCCCATAGTGTTGCTAGTGGCCTCGACTCGAAAGATAACCCTTCACCTTTTAACTGTAGGTATCTTCACTTCTTCTATCAGCGTTGATCCCAATCCACAAAGTCAACTCTATTTCAGACGGATGGTCTCAGCTCATCACCCAGGCTCCCCAGATCTTCCTCTAGCTTAACTCCTTTCACTGCCAGCTGCTTGCTCTCCTGAAGAACAAACACCATCCGAGCCCATTTCTCCCCATCTGTGTTGACCCATTGATGCTTTGTCCCACGTTGGACTGCCACATCCCCTCGCTTCATCACACGATTTTCTCCCGAGTCGAGCACCAACGCCATCTCACCCTCAATCACGACTCCGTAGTCTATACTCAGTGTTCGGTGCATGGCTGATCTACCGGGTGGGAAGTCAACAATCCGGAGCACTGAACCTCCAGGGACACTAAGCCCTGGAGAGTTGCTGATGTAGTTCCCATATGTCTCTATGTCTGTGTTGTCTTCAAGATCAACTGGAAACCCTTGAGTGACGTAACCGAGGTAGAAGACGTGTGTCGAGAGGACAGTCTCGGGTAACTCATCTTTGAGCCGTGTGTCAAATATCGCGTTTCCATCGTCATTATGCTTGGTGATGAACCGTTTTGGTATGGGCAAGGTATTATCTGCTGGAAAGAAAAGAATGAGGATAAAAATGCGAAGAATGAGAAAAGGGGTTTGGTTACTTGACGTGCCACTGTGATATAAAGTTCAAAGGTCATTCTTGGGTTGATCTCGAGGATGAAGTGAGGATATCTCGTTTCTATATACCTCGGAATAGCTCGTTCCAGGGCCAATTTTCATCCAATGCTCTATCTTCGCCAAGTGTCACCCCATCAACTTCCTTCTCGTGAAAACCATTTGTTGGTGAATCAATATGACGTTCTTGTGCTCCCTGCATCATCTGACCCAGCTTGGTCAAGCACATCAAAAATACAAGTACTGGTGTTCAAGTAGCACACAGCCTGGTATACCCTGAACATTATTCGGGTCCCGAGTGAATATTGCATTTGTTCCGGGGTGATCATATGGGTATCAAGTACTCTCCCTGCATGTGAAAGTACCTGAACGAGATTTGGAGGATAACTTCACAGAAGGCTTGATGCTACGGAACCCTCTTCTTGTCTTGATCCATCAACATCGAAATACAATTCGGCGCAGCTCCAAAACGCATAATTGATGTTATTTGTGCCACTGGGTCGACCTGTTTTCTCAATTGCCTTTATGCACCACCCAGACTGGTAAATTACATAGCACTGCTTGAAAAGTTGGCGAGGACAAAAGACGTCGTCCTACTTAATACGACTGTCATCCCCTAGCCAAACTTATGTTTTCAAAGTGCAACATTATAGTTGCATGCGTCCTTGGTGGTTGCTAATGCAGACTTATACCCCTGAGGTGGATAATCACACCAAACAATCTGTCTATTTGTGATTTCTATCTTCTCAATACGACGTGAATACCCTCTTTCACGAGAGACTTCCCAACACGAGTGAGTTTGGATCAGATATTTAAGAAATAAAAGCGATAATTGCGTCCAAGACTGATACATCATCATGGAGGAATGGTTTTCAGCCCCTGTTTGAGCACTCACCTGTGAATCATGTCAAAGAGAAAAGACCTGTCCGACTGTATTATCTTGGCAACTGAAGCAGATGATTGACCATCAGCTATGCCGTGTAACACTGAGACCCGGTTATCGGTTAGTCGGTGAGAGTGAAGCCCACTGGGGTGGCTACGGCCCAACATTAAGAATTTTCGTGTATTCAGTTGATCATCAACTCAAGCTAACGCAATGGAAATCAATCAAAGTTATAATTCATCCTTGAGGCCTTCCAAGAAATCGTGACAGCTTTCTATAGGCTGTTAGTATCAGGGCATTGATTATTACGGATGAGAGATGCTGATAGACATCACGTCCTTGTGACTTGCTTGCTGTATTGAGTCAGTGGTCATGATAGAAATTGGGCGGTAAATTTCGAGATTCCTGCCTTGTTTATAAGTAGGAGTGAAAGACAAAGTTAGTCTTTTGCTCCCTTGCTCATCAAACCCTTTTGAACATAGTTAAACAAGCCCGCAAACTTAACCCAATTAGACTTATTCTCATGCATCAGCTTCTCAAAAGTTGTAGGATCGTCCGTTGAGAAATTCCATGCTCAGTTGATTGAGGCAAAATTCTTACGAATAACCCCCTTTTGACGAATTGAAAGCTCACCACCACAGAAGCGCCGGCTATGCGATATACTTAGTGAAAGGAAAGGCTATGATTCTTCTAAGCTAGCTATAGAAAAAGAGGACTATTTATAATAGTCCTTAGTCATTTACCTATTAAGATTGCCTATAGCTGCCTAACCAGGCTTCCTGCATATAATAGGCATCTAAGGCAAATAGCAAATACAAACAAAGGGCATCAGTTATCCAACAGATATGCTCTACATCTCGATACCAGGGCCGTGATCGGAGCTCTCTCAGTGAATCTACAATGACATTACTGTTAGTGCAGGGTATTGACGACGTACGTGTGTCTCATCTGGTGCTTTGGCGTGATGCCAAACTTGCAACAGAACAAATGACTGCGTACCTACCCAGCTGGTGATCGAATAAAAGGGGCTGGTGCTGAGCAAACAGGCCAATGAAAGCAAGGCCAAACAACGACTTGATATGTTTTTTTCACCTCTAAAATGGTTGAATGCAAGCATCATGAGACCTCTTTCTCAAGCAGGAGAGCGGCAAACGCCGCTACTGTGTGCATTACGTGGACAGATAAATGAGGCATTCGCGTCTCATTGGGGTCGATCTATTTTACACCAATAGAACCTGGGCAGTTGACGCCATCACACGTTGACGGGCTTGTGTGTATGCAGGTCCAGGACAGGATGAGAAGGCTCATGATATTAGGAACGGTCTTGGCACGGCTGAGTCGGCTTCAGGTGAATTGTTAGCGTTGGTGTTTCAGACGAAGGATGGATCATGGCGAATCTTTTTTCAACCTCGCGATCAGATAAGGGTCTGTGTCTGATTGTCTAGCGCAGGATTAGACAGAGAGGAAGACGTACGCAGCTAGAACAAGACGTAATAGTTTCACGATGGCTCCCTTGAATATGGAGCAGAGTACGTATGCTCTCAATTTCTTGGCCAGTTGCGGAATATCGCATCCCCATACCAGACCCTGGCCAGTCGACATATGCTGACGACGACATCGGACGTAGCCCAAGTTGCGATATAACTAACTGACTAGCAGGCCATGATAGCGTTTTAGAGCTTTGACTTATCTGACGCGGTATGTACATACTGTACCTTAGTACCTAGGCTGGTTGACCCCGATGCTGATGCCGGGCCGGAGTTTGGCCAGAAAAGGGACTAGACCTCTCAGCTTAGATCCTGCGGGCCCAATCATATCATGAGGGCATTCCCCATCGAAACCGTTCAGGATTTACCACACATTTTACCTTTGACTTTTAGCAATGGATGGATCCATGACAACTTAGAGAAGAAGAAAAAAAGTCGCTTCTTGCTAGGCTCCATGTCACTGATCCTTGCACTTTGCACCTTTCTTTTAAAGCTTTTTACACTCTTTAAATCCCACGGCCAATCATTTGTTTCCCGCTTCAAGCAAGTTCCTGCTAATTTATTATCCGTCACTAAACCCGCCACATTAATTCCGCTTCCAGCCCTACAGCATTGATTGCTACTACCTACCACTCGCTCGCATACCTCAATTCCTCACATTGCTTGTTGTACACTGTTTTCTTTCTTGCTTTCTTGCTCTCTTTCTCCTCTTCTTGGGGGGGAGAGTCACTCTCATTCGATATATACTTCCTCTCCAATGCCAAATTAAGCACCGTTGCGGGCTTAGTAAAGCCTGCTTGCTACCTTACCTACCTCCCTACCTTATCCTTCCAAACGAGTTGCGCAATGGCTGGCCCTTCGCCCTCGTCCTCGAATCTTTCTCAGAACATTGATCCCTCACGTTCAGATTCAGCCTCAGTTAACCCTGCATCTCAATCATATCCTCCCCCTCATGTGCCGGTGACGTCCTCGGGAGATTCAGCTGGTGGCGCTTCCTCACTAGCGAAGCCAGAGAAAGGGCTTGCACTTTACGCTTGTGGTCACTGTGGACGACGTTACTCGAGGCCGGAGCATCTTCAGCGCCATGTTCAGACTCATACTTTGGGTCGTAGATTTGCCTGTTCGATTTGTGGAAAGACATTTGCGCGGGCTGATCTCAAGAAGCGCCATGAGACCAACCATGAGAACGACGATACCAAGAAACGCAGGCGCACGACGTCTCTCAACACCGGTAGGGTTACTCACGCTTGCAAGGCCTGTGCCACCGCAAGGGTCAAGTGCCAGGAGGAAAAGCCTTGTCAACGGTGCGTTCGTCGCGGCTTGACCTGCGTCTCGTCAGAGGCAAGCTCATCTGCAGCCATGAACCTAGTTCACTTGTCTGCCAGTGCTCGTTCCAAAACACCTATCGATGATGAACACGACAGTAGCAATGCTTCCGCGGAATACGCCCCCACTAGCTTTCCTAACTCGACTTCTTACCCTACCGATCAACCATCGCTGTATAGTCAGAATACTCACTTCCATGCGCACTCTCGGTCAGCAACCCCAAACACCGGGGATCTACCACCCAGCTCAGAGGCTGGATCTTCCAGCCAAGCCGGGACAGACCAACTTCCCTTTTGTGATTTTCTGCGGGATGTCTTATACGAACAGCAGTACGACCAGTCAGCCAGGATCCCAGAAAATCAAGGTCTCGCAGTACTGAACTTTTGTAATGACAGTAACATGGAACTATCAGACATGGACTTTGGGTTGCTGGATCATTGGAACACAGACGGGATGGCCAGCTCGGCCCCAGTACAGCAAGAGACGCCCAAAAGTCCCGTCGACATGGACCATATGCGGCAGAATCTTGTCACAGCCTGGGATGTGTCTCCATGGCGATGGGACCCAGTAGCAAATGACAACGCCTTCGGCGAACAAGGAAATCTGCCAGTTTCGAAAAGAGAGGTGGCTAATATACAGGCTCAGGCTTCAAAGGGGGAGTTCAGAAGGGTCGTCGACCAAAAACTCGATTTCGCCGCTCGTGATGGCGTACTAGCACTGGTATTGGGGGCGTGTCAACCTGATACGATGTCGAGCCGCATCTCGGGGTCCTTTCCTTCAGCAGACCTTTTGGACACCATGTTGCATGTATTTCTCAACTCGCATACCAACCAGGTCTCGGGTTACATACATTTCCCGACCTTCAAGCTCAATGAGCAAGAGCCAGAATGGATTGCGGGAGCAGCTGCTGCTGGTGCAGTGTTGATTCCCGTACCGACTCTGCGAAAATTCGGGTATGCTCTGCAGGAGTCCATCCGTATGTATAACCAGCTCGAAAGTTCTTCCTATCTCTAATCTTGAAATAGGAATTGTTATGCCCAGGCGTTTTGAAGAAAACAACAAAGAAATCCTCAATATAGGCCTCATCCAGGCTATTGTTCTGGGTCAAGACACAGGTCTTTGGAGCGGCAATCGACGGAAGATGGAAATTGCAGAGTGCCACGTCAACATCCCCGTGACCATGATGCGATATCGTGGCAAGTTCCAGAGGTCTTCGTATCCAATGCTTTCAGTAACGCCGGCGGATGAGGGTGCGAATCTCGAGCAAAAGTGGTGGACATGGGTCGAGATGGAGAAGTGGAAGCGGTAAGTATTTGCGACATTCTATTCCTTTCTGTCTATTACCAATGCTAACCACGCCAGTTTTGTGTTCCATCTTTTCCTTCGAGATAGCCAACAGTCCATGACAGCTCTGACGAACCCCGTTATGTCATACGCTGAACTTACCCTCCCTTTACCTGCATCTAAGGAATTGTGGTGCGCAAAGACAGCAAAGGATTGGAAGGATGCATACTTGAGACGAGAGGCTGGGCACATGAAACGAGCGCCGTCAGTTGGTGATCTATTCCGCGATCTGAACCTCCTCGCAGAGAATCGACATCGTTTGGATGTACAATTTTCAACAGCAATCTATCTTCAGGCGTTTTGGCTCCTGATCCTAGAGTATAGAAATCTTTGCTCGTCCTGCAGAACACGATCTTATATCCAAGACACCTATGAAGGCTCCAGTTCATTGCTAGCTGCACGACGCCACCAACTGCTCCAGGACCTGCAGACCTTCAAAACCACAACCACGAACTGGCCCGAGGTCACAGCCCAAGATCGTTTGTTGCTCAATCAGCTCGTGATGGCCTTGCATATATCTATGGACGACTTGCAGCTCTTTGCAGGAAAAGAGGGGGATGAACAGGCACATCGGACATTTCCTGTGCTTCAGCAATGGGTCGAAAGTGTAGACTCTCGGGCAGCTATATGGCACGCCGGCCAAGTTCTTCGATTTGCCAAGCTCTTCCCTCCTGCTCAACTGAAAAACTTTTACGCTGTCTGTGTACATCATGCGGCACTGGCCTTGTGGACTTACGGGGTGATAACAAAAGCCGGGCGCCGGCAGGATATGTCTTCTCAGCATGAAAAAGTCTACCTCGATGGCCCGGAAGCGATGAGCGTGCAGCAGTACATTATTATGGGACAAGGCGTGCCAGTCATTCGAGGACCGAACCAACACAATGGGGCAACTGGAGCATCAGTTGAGAATCCCAAGACGACCATGGAGGCTGTTCATGATATACTCCTAGCCAATTTTGGCGGCACGAATAAAATGGCTCCAGCGATTGTGGAAAACCTAAGCATTTTGATACGGCAACTGGGAAATGTTGCTTGGGCAGTAGGGTTAGGTTAGGTAGCCTGGGGTTGTCATGATGTGATGTGTATAGTAGGATGAAAAGAAAGTTGTTATGTTTTCTTGGTCTGGGGCCAAAACGAAGTTAATAATACCCGCATACCTACCTACCTTACCTATGGTACGGAGTACATCAAGCTGATATAACAAGACTGGACAAAAACCAGGTAGGTCAATCTCCTCGGCGGCGGCAGCAGCAGCAGCAAACGAAAGGATCTAAAGTGAAAAGAGAATGTCACGCATGCCCTTGGAACCGGTCAAGGTACATTTAAACATGCTCAATATAGTCAGTCTCTAACACATGTTGATCATGAATATATGAATGCAAGCGGCATTCACCACCATTAACTAAGTAGGTATGGAATATAATACAAAAAAGCAAGCTTACTGAGAGAGGCTACCATACTATTGGATAGGTACTATAGCTTTTGTTAACTTTTCTGGATAAAAAGTGTCAGTCGTTATTATTATCCAATGAAACAGAGATAGATTCATCATACGGAGTATAGTAAATATGATAATAGAGGGTAATTATTAAGACAAGCTCCGGGGTGTATATCGGTACTTTAGGTGGATATTTTTAACCTCCGGCTTAGCCGGCCGGGGGCTAACTACCTTACCTACCCTAGCTCTCAGCTCAGTCAGTAAACAAGCCCGGGTAAGGGGGCTTGTGGCATAGTGGTTAAAAGTGTCACTGGCCAGACCGAAGAGCTGTATCTAGGCAGCTCGAGGTAGTAAGTAAATCCCGCAGCCCTTAACCCAAAAATAGGTTTTTAATCTCTAAACTACCCTAAACCTAATACAGCAGTGTAAGCTACTAGCCTATATAGCCTTATATATAAGCCTATACCTTTAAGTACCTGCTAATAAGTATAAAAGCCTTAAAATATAATACCTTTATAAGTACTATATACTAAGAAGGACTAGTTAATAAATAAAAAGGCAGAAATTTATTATATAATTACCTATCTTATATTTTACTTTCCTATTTAGGACTAGTATATCTTTTTACTTCTTATTAGAGGTTAGCTAGGAGAAGCCTAGTAGGACATTAAATAATACAATTAATCAATCAATCAATTAATCAAACAAGCCCGGGTGATGATAACGTTACCTTATCCCTCAGACCTGCAAAGCTGGAACCCTTTTTGTACAGTATCTTTTATTTATTACTTGTCCCTGTCGATCACGGGGTTTCCAGTGCTGAGCATTTCCGCTTCATCACTGTGGCTGCATCGTTGACTCAGACGTGCTACATACCTCACAAAGTGGCTGAACAAGTGTTCATCATTTCTCTTTACCATCAACTTTCTACTCTTGCTTTCTTCTACCTTGTTAGCCTTAGCTCTTCTCACCATCCAATATTCTACAAATATGTCCCCTCAAGATACATCAACGGCCCTCGTGGTCACAACGACTGTTCTCTCAACTGTTGCCTTTCTCGCCATCGCCCGCGCACTTCTCTACCCTGTGCGCCCAAAAACCATTCGCAATCCGCTCAAGGCGGGCGTGTACGACAAGGCCAATGCTCATAAGTTGAAGAATCTTGTTTATCACCCTGATCAGTTTCCTGGCGCTCGAGATGTCGAAACCCCAGTAAGCTACTATCTCACGGCCTGATACCCAGAACTATGTTGACCACAAACTATTAGTACGGAAGCATTCGTGTTTACGAGTTTGGCCCTGAGGACGGTGAGAAGGTCTTGTTTGTGCACGGCATCAGCACACCTTGCATCACTCTTGGGCCTATAGCTCTTGGACTCGCCAAACGCCGCTATCGTGTGATGCTCTTTGTAAGCTTCTTGCTATCTGCCTACTCACGCTCTCCAGTTTGGCTAATGTCTCTCAAGGATCTCTTTGGGCGTGGTTTCTCCGATGGCGTCGCTGATATTCCACACGATGCCCGCCTCTACGTCTCCCAAATGCTTCTCGTCTTGGCTTCTAGCCCTCTTGCATGGACCGGTACAGACGCCTTCCGCCTTGTTGGCTATTCTCTCGGCGGTGGCATCGCAGTTCACTTCGCCAATGCGTTTCCTAACCTCGTGCGCGACCTGGTGCTCCTCGCGCCTGCAGGTCTAATCCGCGCCGCCTCATTTGGCCGCGTCTCTCGATTCCTCTTCGTCTCCGGCCTCGTCCCGGAGCGAATTCTCGCCGTTGCTACACGCAGTCGTCTTCAAAAGCCTATCGCCGCTTCAGCCAAGCCACCTCCCAAGACGCCCATCGAAGCTGTCACTACGCCGCCACTCAATGTTGCCGAGGCAGAAGTGGCTCCAGCGTCCGGTGAGGCCGTTACGCCGTTGGAGCAACGTGTCATGGAGTATGTGCGCTGGATGGTCACTCATCACAATGGTTTCGTCCCCGCGTTCATGTCAAGCATTCGCTTTGCACCCCTAACCGATCAGCATGAAGCATGGGCCAAGTTGTCCAAACGTGCTCCTGGTACTACAGCTATTTTACTAGCTAGGTCTGACGAGATCATTGATCCCGATTCCTATCGCCGGGATGCACTGTCTCTCGTTGGCGGTGAGCACCATGTCCGCTGGCGAATTCTTCCAGGGAGCCATGATTTCGTTATGACGCATGCGGGAGACATCCTTAGCGAGATTGACGACATGTTCAACACTAATAAGGTATGATGATGGTCGTGTTTTATTGTATCTCTGTTCGATGTCTTCCTACAACAGGGCTCCAGACATTTACAAAGAGCGAGAGCAGGGAGTTTGGGTTAAGGAGTTTGTTATATTCATGGCCTTTTTTGTTTTCTGGGATAGAATACAGAGTAGAGAGCGATTTACATATTTTTCTATTTTGCACTCGCTTCTATGTATCCGTTGATGGTTGGCTAATAAATGCAACCGTTATCAACGATCTAAGGCTTGACTTTGACACTATATTCAATTAGCACATTCCCGCCATCTCAGTCACCGAGCAAGAATACTCACCATGTTCCAGTAGACGTCCCGCCTCTTCAGTAACTCTGCATGGCATCCTTGTTCCAATAACTGGCCATCTCCCAGGACAAAGATCACATCAGCATTCTGCACTGTGGCCAGTCGATGTGCTACCACGAGCATCGTGCGTCCTTCACTAGCTCTTTCAAATGCCGACTGGACTAGCTTTTCGCTTTCCGAATCAAGGGAGCTCGTAGCTTCGTCAAGAAGTAGGACTTTTGGGTCGCGAATCAGAGCCCGAGCAATCGCCACGCGCTGCTTCTGACCACCTGAAAGTGATACACCACGTGATCCAATATTTGTATTATAGCCCTCCGGTAATGAGACGACAAAATCGTGAATCGAGGCATCACGGCACGCTTGGTGTAGTTGCTCATCGGTGATTGCTAAGGGGTCGACTCCAAGTAAGATATTCTCCCTGATGGTGCCCTGGAAGAGGGTGGCTTCTTGGGCCACAAGAGAAAAGTACTTTCGGTATTCGTACAGGTTGATATCGGTAGCATCCTTGCCATTCAGGAGGATACGGCCCTTGTCCAAGTCGTAAAATCTGTTTCTTCAGCCAGGGTACAATGTAATCACATGTCAAGCAACTTACCTTTCAAGTAACGAAATGATCGATGACTTTCCTGAGCCCGAGGCGCCTACGAGGCCAGCAAACTGTCCCTTCTCAATCTTCAGGCTCAATCCTTTGAACACGGGTGTGCTCCTAGTCGGGTACCTGAAGGCGATGCTTGCCAGCTCAATCGACATTCCACCCTCTGTATCTGGGATCTCCTGCGAGGTAGAGACCTTGTCTCGCGGTCTGCTCTCTCTCATGTTTAGAATACGATTCGCAGCTGCAGAAGCCATCGCACTGTTTGGTCCAAAGCCAAGGGCTTGCCCGGCTGCCTCACTTCCATTTGTAATCGCCACTGTGAGATGTAAGTAGGCGTCGGAAGCGTTTAGGTCTCTGCACTACTCGAATACAGAGAGGCACAAAGTTCACTTACTGAAACAGACGAAAAAAGCAACTAGACCAATTTCATGTCTTGACAAAAGGCGACCTCCCCACCAGAAGTTTAGAGCTTGGCATGCCATACTGGCACTATCGGAGAAACCAAAGAGTATGCTCACCCATCTGGCTTTTCTATATGCTGACACAACGTGGTCGTTGAGTAAGTTCTGATATCGGAGGCAAATCGAATCTTCCAGTGTCAGCGAAGTGACCGTTCTAAACGCTCCTATTGACTCAGATGCAAATTTTGAACTCTCTGCAAAGACATCATTATTCATCTTCTCGAATGCCAGCTCGTATTTGAAGCGCCAGTACGCTGAAACGATCATTATGGGTAACACGACACAGCATGAGACGAGAGCTAGTTTCCATGCGAACGCGAACGCAATGGATATTGCACCAACCACGTTGAAGAGAGCGACAAAGACACTAGCCATGTTCAGTCCCATCAACTCTTCAAGTTGCTTGGGATCCTGGCCAAGCCGGGACGTTATTGTTCCATGAGAGTGGTCTTCATGGTCAAAAAATGATGTTTTCTGAAACATTACCGCATCAAAATACTGCTTCTGGTATTTCACGCGTATCGTAGATGACATCCGAGTGGCCACGAAGACAACTACAAAGTAGCTGATTCCGATTCCTGAAGCCAGGGCGACGAACATGAGTGACCAGAAGTTGCTCCCGGATACGTTCGAGTCAGTCCCTATGTCGTTGAAAGAAACAATAATCTTCCCGAAGATCCATGCCTGTAATGGCACTCCAGCTCCCACACAGGCACCGGCAAATAGAGTCAGGAAAAACGCTGGCCAGACATTCTTTGACTCGTAGAACAGTCGACCAAAGCTTGCAAAGAAGTTCCGCGCCTTGTCTTTAGAGGCCTCCGTCGACGTGTCGACCTCGGAAGCTGCAACACTCGTCACGTTGGCCAGGGCGGGCTTGTCCTCAGCTTCAGTCGACTCGTCTCCTGCATCTGTGGGTTCTCCAAGCGATAGGGATTGTGCATGCACAAGCCCTGAGTAGACTCCGCCCTCGATCGTCATGAGACTGTCATGTGTACCTGATTCGGCGACTTTGCCCTTCTTCAAGACGATGATACGATCTGCTTTCTTAATAGTCGACAGTCGATGGGCTATTGTGATAGTGGTCCGGTCTTTTGCAGCTCTGTCAAGGGCCGCCTGGACAATCCTCTCACCGCGGACATCAATAGCACTAGTGGCCTCATCCAGTATAAGTATGCTTGGTTTTCGCACGATAGATCGTGCAATAGCCAACCTCTGTCTCTGTCCACCGGAGAGTTTGGCACCACTATCACCAACGAGCGTATCCAGCCCCTTTGCATGTGTTAGCCTTGATGGTTTTTCGCCAAGATTTGGCCACAACTTACATCTGGCAGTCGATCAATGAACTCATCGGCGAATGATTCTCGACAAGCCTCCCTAACCAGCTCTCTCTTCTTGCCTTCGGTCTCACTTTCCCATGGACTTCCGATCAGACCATAGGCAACATTCTTATAGATCGTGTCGTTAAACAGAAATGGCTCCTGCGAGACGAGACCTATCTGGGACCTCCACCACTTCAAATCGATGTCGTCCAACAATCGGCCTGCTGTCGAGATTCGCCCATGGACTTCGATAGGAGGTCCTGAGTCTTCAGGCTCGTTACCAACCACGTTTTCGGCGTCGATATTCTCATCACTCTCGTCCTTCTTGTTCTTGTGACCCCCTTTTTTCTCTTTCTCAATGACCTTGGCAAGAACGTGTTGATCCTGTAAGGTATACCATCTCTGGATGAGTCCAACAATGGTCGATTTGCCTCCCCCAGACGGCCCGACGATCGCATTGATTTTTCCAGCCTCTATGCACAAGTCCAGGCCATCTAGCACCTTGACATGAGGCCGGCTAGGGTAAGCAAAGGTAACACCCTCGAAAATGATATCCTGTGTCGAAGAGACTTCGGGAACCTTTAGAGTACCCTTGGCAGGCTGCGGAGCGTCGATAACAACAAAAAATTCGCAGGCTGCCACAGTGGCTTTTCCAACAGCTAGTAACGGCGTAGATGTTCGTTCGAGTGAAAGCACGACAATCATAACAGAGAGCAATACGCTGGAGCTATCAGCACAGTATCATTTGTGATGTGGACGGACTCACACAAGGACATCACCCACGTTGTCCAATCTTCCCTCAGAGTAGGACTTTGCACCAAACCAAAAGCAAAGTGCGAAGCCAGCATATAGCCCGAAAAACTACGCATGTCAGCAGCTTCAAGTTCAGCCACTATTCATGGTACTCACTATCAAACCCAGTTGTCCGCCGACAAGGGGAGAGAGAAGTTTACCATGTTGGCGGGTTTCCTCGACAAATTGGCCGTATCGCTTGGAAATGCGTGATTCTGCACCACACGCGGCCACCATTCTGACGCTCGCCAAAGCTTCGCTGGCAACCGCACCAGCTCTGCCCTCTGCCTAATTCTCGGTCAGCAGTCGATTTTTTTTGAAGGGCAAGGGCACTGCAACCTTTGTGATGAGGGCATTAACCTTGAGTATCATGGGCAGAAATGTTCCCAAGACAAGGAAAAGGTAAAGGATGATTGAAGACGTGACAAGGGTCAGGAACCAGTTCTTGACGAATGCTACAATAATCGCAGCTACAATAGTTGAGTTGTATTCAACAAAAGTGCCAAGTTTTTCTGATATGCCTAGCTGCAGGACATTGGCTGTAGAAGTGATGGTGCCTGTGGCATAGCCTGGAGGCATTGAGTCGAGAACATGGATAGATTGACCGAATAGTCTTTGTAGGTAGTGAAGTCTGATGGCGGATGATAATCTGATGCCTATCATGCGGAAGACGAACTAGAGGTGGTCAGATCAGACCGAGTGCTTGGATGAACAGTTAGTTGATCGGCCATACCTTGTTGATGGAGTTGAGCACGAAGCGACCCAGAAACAGTGCGAACATATACAACGCCAACTTATCGATGCTTTTGTTGAATTCACTTTGCGATGTTGTGCTGCCTGGCAGGAAGTATTCTGTAAAGTTGCCAACGAATTGTCCTAGTGATATCGTCAGGAACAGATTCATAGTTAGGAGTTGTGAGTACGTTTACCAAAAACCACATTCATTAATGGCAGCGTCTAAAAGACGCGTTAGCCATAGTACCTGGTGATCTTGTCTTGATACCGAGGTTTGGAGCAACTTACAATCCCTGCTCCAATGCTTGCAAAAAAGCCTGCAGCATACGCAAAGAAATCCCATTTTGTTGCGTAGGAGAATATCCGCTACAAGTTATGTTAAGAGTGCTATTGATACATTGCGCCCTCAGGGGTTACTCACGAGGTAATCTTTGAAATTTGCTGTCCGCTCGGGTCGGGCTTTTGCCTTGGCCTGCAGCTCGCCTTCTTTTGCATCATTCGTTAATGGGCCTTGAGGCTCCGAAGAAGGAGAGTTGGCAGACTTCTCGATTTTGTCATGATGCTCAACAGTCATGATGGCGACGAAACTTAGACACCTTCACGTATGGGGTCTAGGACAGCAGATTCGATATTTCAAATGAGGACAATCATGGAAATCGGTGGCTCTCAAAGTCGCGCATTGGCTAAAAGAGTAATCTGAGTAAAGAAAGAAGAGGAATCGATGGTTGGCTGATATAGGCAGACATCAACTGATGCACTGTATAGAAAGACTTTAAGTACCTA